CACCAGTACTGATTTTTCTAGGACGGTTTGTTTTACACTCTGAATATCAACGACTACGACCGGATGTTTCGCCAGCGCTTTGGCTTTTTAATCGTAACTTCAGACGTCTGTTATGACAGTTTTATCTGCTATGCCACAATCAGCAAACTATGGCCCGCTCAGCCTGACACCTGGTACCTGGTCCCCTGCGCTTGCGCTCCCGCTGGGCATACGACTGTGTGCATGTCTGTCCACTCGTCCTCGTCGTCTTTCTGATCCGTTTTGATGCTGCCACTAGGTAAATCCTGGCCAAATGTTTGCTGCAGACCAGCGGGTTTTGTGGCACGCCTGGGTGCGGGCCCGACCGTGCCAGTCACCTGCACCCTCTACCGCCTCCAGTCTTCCTGACTTTGCTTTGACACTGCACTAGTGTGCGGTAGACGCTACGAAAGTCTACTCTACTAATCCACGTTCAAGTCACCGTGCCTGTCCCCACCTTGCTATGGAGTACATGGTGGACATTGTGGACCACGATAGTCGAACTATATAGTGCAGTTTGAAAACAAATGTTTATGCATTTTTGCATCAGTACAATAAATGAGTCAAAATTGGCACAAAGCCAAACCCGGCTTATTCTGCTATCTGAAACCAGAAGCACAAACCGACGTAGGCAAAAGGGGCAAATGTTTTAGGCGAAGACCGGAGAGGAGGACATGCATTTAGGCTGGCCGACTGAGGCAGGATAATCCCAAATGAGCGCTGTAGCAATTCGTTAGAATCACTGAAGATTTGCTATTCCCTTGTGTGTTGGCTGAGTTCGACCTCACAGGTTGCTGTATGTTCGAGAGCTCTGTGACAAATTCGGGTCATCCGTGTTTCGGGAAGCCAACAGAACGCCGTGCGTCCATTTGTGTATGTATGGGTACACGATCTGCAGTGACAGATGATGCCATGTGTCGAGGCACTGATAAACGATGGATCCCTGAACTGCGTATGACCCCTTTGAAGGACGGCCTCCGGGATACACCTGGACGTGCGTGGGCGCACGTTTTTGCGTTCCAACCCCAGATCCTAGTTGGAGTTATGGTGGGCTAAATAAAGACCTAAGAACTCCAAAACAGTTCTGTATTAATCTACCCGAATTTCTGTCTTCAGGCTCTCCTATCTGTATGTACGGCGGCTGATTCTTACTGACAGAGGCTACGAAGCCAAAAATGACCATTCCAGTTCCCCTTGTCTTTGTCGGCAATATTACTCTGCACATATATAAAGAAAGAAGTTCTTCGGAAAAATCAATTTATACTAGTGAATTTTCCGGTTGGTGATACCAACCTGTCTTCAGACGAAACAAAGACAAATGAGAAAGTAAGACAGTCACATCAGACTAGTAGGCGCAACGGAAGAGATACGGGTGGGCGAGGTGGGCACAGGGTTACAGCGCGTTCTGAACTGCGGTGTTTGTCATTGTCAGAGGTAGTAACACTGGATTTGCCACTTCTGACTTGTTAGCCACCTTCATCCGGCGATATTTCGGCTGTGGTTTGTTACCTGAGTTCAGCGCTTAGTGAGATTACTTTGCAAGAAAAAGCATGTTAGACCGAAGCTATAAACGTTTGTTCCTGAGCTGAGAAGCGCGGTTACAAGAGTGAGCATTGTGTAGAATACGACCGTTCGTCACATTCACAATACCAATTTCGTGAAGTCTTACACTTGTTTCTCAGATCCATCACAATCCATAATTTTATCAACAGTTCTACGACAGGCGAGAAACGATAGTCATTTTAGTTCATCCTTAGTGTTTTCCAAAGTTTTGCCGTTTCAAATACAGTTATTGTTAGGCCCATCTGAAGTCGAAACTGTGAACGCTTTCCTGTTTTATCAAGATCTGCTGTGGACGGCCCCCGAACTTCTGCGTGAAGTCATTGTAAGGATCGCGGGGACTCAAAAAGGGGACGTCTACTCCTTCGGCATAATTCTTCAGGAGATTCTCTGCTGCTCCGAACCCTTCCCTGACTGTGACCTCTCGGCGGAGGAAATTGTTGAGAAGGTTCGTGCAGGCGATCCGCCCTTTAGGCCTGAGGTACGTTTTCAAAATGCACGCACGAGCGGGTATGACGCCGATGGGGCAACTACACGAACATATGACCGCTTAACTGCAGTAGACTTTTCTTTCGTTCCGCCTATCGAGAATTTGACTTAATTGCCATCTTTTAAAGACGCACGAATAATGTTCACGGTCTAGGTCGACAGACAATATTGTCTCCCGTGCACTTGGGAGCAGGGGTTTAGCATGGCAATATCACTTAGGTAAAACGATCAGTCGACGAGAATACGAGCAAAAAGCCAAAACCTTGTCTTTTATAACTTCAGATTCCCTCCAAATATGCGGGGTAAACAAATGTTCGAGGATTCTGACGCCTGTAATCTGGGCAACCCCTACCCTAATACTCTTGCACTTATACACAACTCTGAAGTTTTTATTCCATCGAGCGTACAGTAGGTGGGCTAACTCAGGAAATCTTAACAGAAATTCCGGAATGCATTTTCGTTTCGAATAATTAATTAAATAGATTTGTAAAAGCAATCATCGTAGAGCATAACCTTATAATAACTCGGTTGCCTCGGACGCCAGCTTTCGGACTAACTTCTTTCCAGCTGCATCTAAGAACCATACTCCGCAAAGATGCCTACTGAAATAGCATTCATTTTCTCATTAATTTTCGAGGCCCTCAAAAACCAATTCTATAGAACAGATAGGAATTGCCATCCCCAGTCACACTCATTTTTTTGTTTGTTTGTGTGGAACTTCTCTATATCAGACTCTTAACAGCGGCTTACTCAGTTGAATTCCATTCTTGTAAGCTATAAACTGAACTCAAAAATAATATCGTTTTTCGACTAATAGTAATGGGATACAGGGAAACCGGTTACATGGAATTGAGGGACACCCTCGCATTGCAGTGGTTGGACATAACAATTCAACTATACACCTGCTGTCAGTGGTGAAGTTGTAGTGTTCCAGTTGATGTCTAAAAATTCCAATAACCGCAACACAAACTAGAAAGCAAAAAAGCTATGACGCGAAAACAAGTATGAAAATGCAGCAGTCGGACATAATGAAGAAACGCGGTTTGCCTCTTTTTGTCCAATCTTTACGAATGTCGAAGATAAGCTAATCAGAATGTCACTGTCAATGCAAGCATCAGGTGAAGTCGTAAGTAACAATATTTAAAAAAACAAGACGTAGGACCTTCAACTCTACACGAGACTGAACCCTTGTCACAGGTGACAGTACCAGGGACGGAGGGACGGGACGGCCGCTGGTGGTTTTGTCATTCAACTTCCTTGGTATGGCATGAGTTGGTTTGGTTGTGAGAGCGCTCACAAGAAAGACAACCGACCTTGGTGCTACATTGCTCGCGTGTGTTGCAGGAATGTTTATGCCCGCAGACACGGTGGGGTGATCGGGGGACAATCCACACATAACGCAACTTGTAATCAATGCACATTTCAGTTCTATTATTTGGAGGCTGTTGTACATTCCACTGGTGGTATAGGCAAACATTTTAAATCACATGGTTTATGACTGGCCAGCAAATAACCCAGAAAAAATTGTTTTGGTTTTAAGGTGAACATTCCGGAGATCCCATATTTTTACAAGGATCTAATGCGATCTTGCTGGACAGAAAACCCAGATTTCCGTCCAACATTCCAGGAAATTATCGTTCAACTGGAACAGTATAGCAGTGGAAAGTGAGTTCTGCTCTCATGCCTTCCAGTACCTTGCAGAAAATTGTTCTATGAACGAGGTCGATTCGGGTAGGTAATTGTACAGTGTTTAATGATTTAAAAGTCAAAACTAACCCGGAGTCGCTTTAGAAATTGAGAATTGCGTTTGAGCTGGACTCCAAAGTAATCTCATCTTTCAGGTTTGAAATCCCTTGAGCAGTATGGGAGACTGTATGTATACGCAATGCCAACCTTTGAGTAACTTAACTTTCTGGACTGTCCGTGTAATGTGCATTTGATAAGAGGACCAATTGAAGCCTTCATTTGCCAGATGTGGCGTTCTTAATCAGTTCGTAGAAAAAATAAAACGTGCAAAACTGTTGAATTTGTACAACGAATCTAAACAACCTGTTACTTTCCCCAATCAGGCTAAACTTCTATAACGCCGAGAGGTAATTGCCTGTTGCTTGTTTGCACGCAGTAACAAGACACATCCATGTATCACTGAGCTTCCTTTTAGTGCAATAAGTAGGTTTGCGTTAATATTCCATCTTCTCTGTAGAAAAGCCAACATTATTGACCATATGCTGAATATGATGGAAAAATACTCGGCAGATTTGGAATCTCAAGTGCGAGAGCGGACGCTGGAACTCGAGGAGGAGAAAGTAAAAACAGAAGAACTGATCGCAAGAATGTTGCCACTGTAAGTTTACTACAAAGTAATTTTATGGCACCATGGGCTAATTTTTGATCGCATAACGAAAATGTTTTGCCTTACGCCTACCTGAGTGAATCATTACCTTTCACCTACTGCAGGTTGATGAAAAAGTCCCTAAGATAAAACGGAATCAAAAGTCGCATATGATAGTTCGACCATCGGTTTCGATGATGTCCACCGCGTGCCCCACAGTTGCAGCAGCAATGGGAGCAGGGACGGTGACTTACGCAGGAGTTTATAGTGCCGGTAAACTTGCGTAGCATCTACCTACACTCTCTCCTCCTCCCTCGCCCGAGCCCGGTGTCAAGACAGAGTCAAGAAGACCGGAGACGAGAGAGGCCGCAGGTTGATGGCTCGGACGGATCCTCACCTTGGCGTTCCAACACACCCTCCGGTCCACACAACAAATAACCAGGATTTCAATCAACGCGACAGAGATTTGGAGGCTGGCACGGCCGAAGCCGCACCTGGGCGTGCCGCCAACGCCTGGCTCGGATTCCACACTGTGATGGGAGTGCCATAAAGGCCACATTAAAAAGGAGCCATTGCAGCCTGACTCTCAGACCGCCTCCGGTCAAGGAGGAGGTCCAAGATACCCCGTCAGTTGGCAACCTTCCAAGCCACGGCTTTTAGCGCACCGTGATAGCTTCAAGCGCGTCAGATTGTTTATAATGAGGAGGAAGTGCGCTGAGTCGTCAACCTCACTCTCCCTCCCCACTCCCACACCCCAGCCGCTGTCCGAGCCGGTCAGCAGACAAGAGTGGGGAATGGGCGCGGTGGCTGTGTAGGGAGTGCGGTCAAGGCCGCTCTCGCGGATGCGCATGTGGCCGAAAAGTCCCATGCGATGCCTGAAGGTGCGAGGGCCTTGTGGGCATTGGAGGCGAGTGCGGTGGGTGTAGGTTGGTGCTTCACGCACTGGTTCGCCAGTATCTGTGCGATGGATTCGCAAGTGACCGACCAGGACGGTGTGTGAGGTGAAGGTACCGTCGCAGTGAGGGCAGGTGTAGTCCTGATCCTCATCCCTGGAGTCGGGGGAGGTGGTGGTAGTGTCGGTTGCTGTGCGCGGGACAGTCGCCTGAGCGGCCGCCGTTGGAGCAGTGAGCGAGGAGGAGGAGGAGGAGGAGGAGGAGAAGGAGGAGGAGGAGGAGGATGATGGAATTGGTGGGTCAGAAGAATTGTGGGGGATAGTTGGCGGCGGAGAGGAGGTGGAAGAGGCAGGCGTGGGGACGATGGTTGGTGCCGTTCGAGAGGCACAGTTAATCCGAAGATGTCCAACAAGTCCGATTCGAGCCCGGAATGTCCGTTGACATCGAGGACACGTTGGAAGCGGTTGTGCGGCAGCGTTGCTGACTGGGCGAAGTTGTGATTTGCGGGCGTCACGTTTCGCTTTGGCGGCAGCAATGCGGTTGGCTTCGTAGATCGCAGCGCCTGTCTTCACTGTCCTCCTCCAGGTCGGTCGATGGAGTGCGAGCTCCTCCCAGTTGGTAGGGTGGATTTACAGGCATTTCAATGAGAACTTCAGGGTATCCTTGTAACGGCGAATCTGTCCTTCTCGACGGCGAGAACCCGTCGCGACTTCTCCGTAGAAGAGTCCTTTGGGTAGTCGCTCGTCGTCCATGCGCACCAGGTGGCCGCTCCAGCGCAGCTGCATTTGCCTCAGTATGGCGTAGATGCTGAGGATTACGTTCCAGCACATAAGTGTCGGGGATTCGATCCTGCCACTTTAGCCTCAGGATGCGACGAAGACAACTGAGGTGGAAGTGGTTCAAACGACGTGCCTGCTTTGCGTACACCGTCCAAGTCTCCGCTCCATACAGTAGCGTCGGCAGGATGACGGCCTTGTACATCTTCAGCTTCGTGCTCAGCTGAAGACCGTGACGATTCCAAACTGTGCTTTGGAGGCGACCGAAGGCTTGACTGGCTTTCTAGATCCTGTTGGCGACTTCGTCATCGATCTTAATGTTCCGGGAGAGGGTACTGCCCAGGTACGGGAAGTTCTCCACCACTTGCAGTTGGGTTCCGTTCACGCTGATTTGCGGCGGCGCGTTGGGGGCTGTGGCTGAGTTGGGTGGCGGTTGGTGCATCACCACCGTCTTCTGCTTGTTAATGACCAGACCGAAGTTCTCGCAGGCGGCGGAGAACAGGTTCATGCTCCGTTGCATCTCCTCTTCCGTTGCACGGCCCTGATGGTCTCCTGGGGAGATGGCGGGAGGTCGAGGTCCACGTTGGTCTCCACTTGCGGCAAGCGGGCGATGGCGGCGTCGGAGATGACGGAAGGGCGGTTGAGGACGCCTCGGAAATGCTCGGCCCATCGCTGTAGGATTTGCGTCTTCTCAGTCAGGAGAGCGCTGCCGTCGGCGCTGAGGAGAGGAGCAGTGCCCTTCGTCGGCGGACCGTAGACACCTTTGATTGCAAAGAAGAAGTTCTTCCATTCGTTCCGATCCGCGTAGCCTTGGATCTCCTCAGCTTTGCGAGCAGTCCAGGCGTCCTGCATCTCGCGCAGTCGTTGCTGAAGCTGGCGGCGACTGCGGTAGAAGGAAGCTTGTTGTCCTCATTGGGGTGATCTACGTAGGCTTTGTGTAGGCGGTTCTTCTCGGCGAGCAGATTTCTGATGGCGGCGTCGTTGTCGTCGAACCAGTCGTGGTGTTGGCGGGGAGCGCGACCAAGGACGGCGTGCGCCGTCGACTGGACCGTGTCTCGCAGTTGACACCAGCTTTGCATATAGTAAGATGATGATGGCTATGAAAAAACAAAGTTTTCATACTTAGAGTGACTGAGAACGCACACCAGGGATGTCCCCAATACTTTTACCTATCACCCGGTACAGTGTTCAGTATGCGAATCCAGGATCTCTGACAGAAATATTGCTATTTTTGTTCCACCTCTGTAGGTTAGACTGGATTAATAAATATTCAGCTTTTCAACCTCCTCAGAAAGCAATAGTTAACATGGAGTAAATCAGTCGGATTAAAGCCTTATAGGCTCATTTTGAAAGTTGCTATGACTGTTTGAGACGAAATGAGTAAGCTACACCGAGATAACCGCGTAATATTCATGAGCTACTAGCGGTCATTCTCTAGTTTACAAACGTGTTCCGACGCACCCCTCGCAGCTGTGTCATGCAGCGGCAGAATATTGGCAAAACAGTTGTTTGGGGGTTTACCTGATATCTGTGGTTTTCAGTATGATAAATCAAGCTGAATTAAGCAATGGTGAAACTAACTATAAACTGTTTCGGCCGATAAACCAAGAGAAAATTGTTACAGAGATAGTAATTTAAGTAAGGCACTATCAGTTATTGTACGGCTCCTACCATACCTTGCAGGCGTCGAAAATCCCCAAGAGTGTCTATCACTTTACAAAATACCAAACAAACTCACATTACTCATCGGCCATTCGTTGAAATTTATGAGAAGTCGTCGGAGTATGTTAATTTTGAAAGACCTACTGCTTGCCAAATGATGAAGCAATACAGGATCACAATTTGTCACACAAAACTAAAAATAATGCTGAACATCAGAAACTACTAAATTCACCGATGGCACAGTAGCATCGATAGCAAGGCAGAGAAGTGTATCCTAATTTGTGAGTGTAATCAAGGTCCCCGTCTCACTATGCTAGTTTTTCCTTTTGCAAATATTTAAAATAGACCTTATTTGCATTGCCACAGATCTGTTGCACAGGCGCTGATAGCTGGCAACACCGTGGCCCCAGAAGCCTTCGACGAGGTCACCATCTACTTCAGTGACATCGTTGGCTTCACAGCAATTTCAGCCTGGTCCACACCCCTGCAAATCGTTGATCTACTCAATGCGCTATATTCCACCTTCGACTCAACAATTGCGAAATTCGACGTCTACAAGGTACCGGCATAGAGATCAGACGTATGTATTAGTTCCCTTTCTTCTTGCAATTAGATGTTACCGCCGACACAGACGTCCTGGTTAAAAAATTCAACAATGCACACCCCTCGCCAACGTTCTCTGCAGAGTTTGAGGCAGACAATGAAATCGCGTTCCTCGATATTCTTCTGCACCGACAAGAGAATGGGTCTATCCAACGTAGGGTATTCCGAAAGAAAACCTGGACCGGACAATACATTAATTTTCACAGTGTTGTTCCCCTAAATATTAAACGCAATTTGGTCCATGGATTGGCAGCTAGAGTGCGACATATCTGCTCTCCTGAGACTGTTGAGGCTGAACTTCAGCGGTTGCGGGATACATTCCACAAAAACGGATACCCAGAAAGATTTATCCTCCGAAATATAGGGGAGCGCACTGCAAAGCCCACCATGGCAACTGCAGAAAAGAAGGACTTATTTATATGACTGCCTTTTCAAGGGGCCGCATCAAGTGACCTAGTAAGAAGACGTCTGAAGACAGCGACCACTAGCGCTTTCCCCGCGGCGAACTTACGTGTATGTTTCACAAACTCTCCCCTCCTACGCTTGGGAGGTAAAGACCGACTCCCGTTGCAGGCCACATCGATGTGTATTTACTCATTCACTTTCTCCTGTGGAGCGGGATACATTGGCCGTACGACGAGGCGCCTGGAAATGAGAGCGCGTGAACACATACCGGTCTGGCTAGGCAGAGGTGAAAAGAAATCGATCTCGAGTTCTATCCTCGCACATCTTGTCGATACGAATCACCGAGTCGATGCCAAAGAAGACCTTCAGGTTGTCTACCGGACACCAGCATGCTTCCCCAGAGACCTACGCCAACAGGTGCTAGCTACAGTCTAAGCAGTGACTATACGGCTAGCCAATCCAGTGCTATGCTGTCAGAGGACTCTGACACAGGCACTCTGTCTTCCGTGGCCAACGCCGACCCAACCTCCTGATGGCAGTGGTGCGTGCACAACGCACCCGACGTACAAACATTACTCACAGCCTATGTCCCCCCTCTACCTCGCCCCCTTGACCAAATGACTGACCAAGCCATAGCACGCCCCGTCATGCGAGTGTGTGGGGATGATGGGTGTTAATAGTTCCTGAATCACTTATAAGCTCTGTAACTTTACATAATTTAAACTTCTACGTAACCGTTTTGGCCTGATGAAGAGTTACCGAAAACACGTTTGCCAAAGTGACTTTTCAGTTGTAACATGGGAATATTCGCTGAAATTAGGAATATGTTTGCTGTTTGTTGCACTCCGAGAATTCCAAAAGCCCTCTCAAAAGATCCTACACTGAGGGTAGTGGATCACTGTAGAAGTCCTAAGAAAATATATAGAAAGGGAGAAAATAGACTGGCTAATAGAAAGTATTTTTAAGAGATGGTTCCATAATATGACCTTGTCTTTCTCGTCTGGGACTTGCTGTTTCAGCATTGTTTTTTCATTTCAGGTTGAAACCATAGGTGATGCGTACATGGTGGCCTCGGGGTTACCTATCAGAAACGGCAGGCGGCACGCCGGTGAAATCGCCACAGTGGCTCTGGAGCTACTAAGTGTGGTTGGATCATTTGTCATTCCACACATGCCACAGATTCCCATTTTGCTCCGCATTGGAATACACTCTGGTAACTGGCACTGCGTTTGGTGCTCTAGTATACTTTGCGAAACCACAAAATCGAACCACAGGTAGACATAGGCCTAGATGTACCCAAAACAATTTTGGAAATTGTTAGTATTCAGATGTCATTTGTTGCAACGCTTTGGTGTGAAGGACCTGGACACTGAACGGTGTGTCAATCAATCGCCTTTTGTTTTTGCACGCCCTGCGCATGCTGATTTTCAGAAGCCGAATTATTTTGTGTATTTCAGAAGTATAACCATGACTCCCTTCACATTCATCGATCGGTTTTACAAGACGAGCTGTAAGAAAAAGCAGGAAGTCATATTTCTAATGCGCCAATCTAATAGCACAATGTCTTAATAAGCACTATATATCTCACGCGAACGATGAACCCGTTGCGAATTATGATGTATTATGCTGACTCCGTAACTTCCTTTTTCTGCCATAGCCGCCATTCGGTTTAATTCGTTTAATCAAAAGCACGCCAAAATCAAGCGTTTGGTCTCCCGCACAGACTTCAACTTGTAAATCTGTACCCAATAAATTCTAAAAAAGATATCTGTAAAGGGACATGCAAAAGGCTTTAACACCTAAACTGATTCAACTGAAAAGAAACAAAAATTTAGCTTGCATACCCAAATTAGGTCAGACCCTAACCTAGACTATTTCGCCAGTATTCTATTGAACACAGAAGCCGACGAACAACACCAGGTCTTCAGGCTCCCGCAAAATCCTATCTGAAACCTGAGTCCTTAGTTTAGGACGGTTGAACAGAGGGATGCAAAAATGTGATTTTTCTTCAAGGTACTGGACGTCATTAAAGTGTTTAAACTCTCCTGAAAAACCCTTTCCCTCTTTAACTCCACATGCGACAGCCCGAACTGAGTCTTTTTTTCGCTAGGACGATCTAACTTTGCTTTATATGTGCATAAACATTTTAAGCCAGTCTTTGGCATCTACCTATGGTTGTTTAATCCTATCGTGGAAGCTCAAAAGGCTGTGAACTAATCTACGGACAAGGTAAACCACTTTCAGCAGTTCATTTATGTTGCGCAGAAGCAGAACTTCGTTTTACATTTAAAAATATGGTTATTACTTCCGCTCTATTCTCCGTAGGCGCCTGTGTTGCTGGAGTGATCGGCCTGACCATGCCGAGGTATTGTCTGTTCGGTGACACAATTAATACTGCATCCC